TTGGCAATTTCTCGCCACGTTAACACAGCGCATTGGCAATTTCTCGCCACGCTAACACAACGCGTTGTTAATTTTATCCCGCAACTCTAAAGAAAATCGCGAATGCCTGAGCACTAAGTTTCCTTTATAATTATATTACATCTTAATTCTTAAAAATTTAATTTACTATAATCACAATATTGGAAGAGCTTACTTGAAATACGACTGATTTCCCCACTAGTCAAGTTCCGATTAATTGAGCAACGACTTTGAGCCGAGCGAGCACGTAGAGTACCCCCACCACCGACTTTGCTGATCGACGATCGCGCGATCGACCACGATCGATAACATCGATAACTTTGATTATTTCCAATGATTTNACGCCAGCCGATCGTCCTAGTCTGCGCCCCATGCCAGCGCATGACGTCAGCCGACCGTTCAGCAGCCGCCGGCAACAGCCGATCATCCTAGCCAGCGGCCGACGACAGCCGATCGTCCTAGTAGCGTCACAATTCGCAATGTTTATATCGCGACACTCACGTACGCACGCACACGTACATCGTGTGGGGTAAACGCCCGGGAGCTGCGAAACCGATCGACTACGTAATTTCGAAGGTCGCTCCGAAGGCGATTCTAACACAACGCGTNCAACGAGGTTTAATTAACAAGAGAACAACGGTTGCACAAATCGGTCGATGAGTTATTAAAGTTTTATTTTCCTTTAAAATTATATTACATCTTAATACTTAATAATTTAATTTATTATAATTACACGCACTAATTTTCCTTTAAAATTATATTATATCTTAATTCTTAACAATTTAATTGATTATAATTACATTATTGCAGGAGCTTACTTGAAACACGTCTATTTCCTCCATAAGTCAAGTCCCGACTAATTGAGCTTTGACTTTGAGCCGAGCGAGCACGAAGGGCACCCCCCCCCCCCCCCAAAGACTTTGACGATCGACATTATTGGAAGAGCTGTCTTGAAACACGTCTGATTCCACCATTAGTCAAGTCCCGACTGATTGAGCTTTGACATTCAGCCGAGCGAGCACGAAGGGTACACCCCCCCCCCCCCCACCCCAATGACTTTGACGATCGACATTATTGGAAGAGCTGTCTTGAAACACGTCTGATTCCACCATTAGTCAAGTCCCGACTGATTGAGCTTTGACATTCAGCCGAGCGAGCACGAAGGGTACACCCCCTCCCCCCAATGACTTTGACGATCGACGATCGCGGCGAGGGCGGAGCGCTGGTCGCACTCGCGCTCCGATTTGTCAACGTTTTTCGTTAATAACTCGTAAACGGAGTCGCGGATCGCATTTTCGCAAAGGAAAAAGTTGCTGCAAATCACCTCGCGAACCCGCTTGTACAATAATTTTTGGACTAATAATAATTTCTATGATTATTTTAAGCTGTTTGTATCGTATAAACGCTGTTATAATATAACGACACTGTCGTTCGATCTTTGCATATTTATGGCATACGCGAATCTTAAAAGTGCAAGAAATAAATTAGCAACGTCTAACAGCATCTTCGTGTTATTATTAAACATTCTCCTTATTTCTGAACGCTCGAATTACAGTTACATATTATTGAGTGGCATTATACATATAATGCATATGTTCTTTATAAAAATGCTAATAATAAAACTGACACATTTGAAAAATTTCATCTGCTTCTCATAAAAGATACTTTGCGAGAACACCCATCGCATAGAGTAGAGGCTAAAGGAGGAAGAGTTCGTTCGTACGACTTTCCATTTCGATTAACGGAGAGGCATTTCCCTACATCCTGCGTAACTAAAGAAAATAAAAAACATTCCTCGCGACGCTGTTTGCACTAAAAATAATCGTAGAACTGACTCGCGTTACGAATGCAAAAAATGTAACATTGGCTTATGTATTGAACCCTGTTTTGAGATTTACCACACAATACGGAATTATTAAATTTTCAATTTAAAAGATATAATTTACTACTGCTATATTGTTCATGTTATTGTTGCTTAATGAAATAAATGGTTGTTAAGGCTTTTGAGATCACCACATAATTTATTTCAGTTACAATCGATATACTTTGCAATGAAAATTCAGCCTGCTCAACTTGCGCTCTTTCGTAAAAAGTACGCAGCCCACGGTAGGCTTTTTCCGTACGGAGTGGGCAGTCCATGGCGCACGCTTAACGTCGGACAACTAAGCGCTCAAAGAAATTGACTGTCGTTTAAAAGTTTATCGTTCTCTGCACAGGATATCGTAGCAAGTACGAGGTGATCGACCTGCTGAACCGAAACTCCGAGAAGATCCGGTCTCTCCTCGAGGGAAGACCGTTCTCCATCGGTTATTCTCCGTGCAAACACATACCCTGCAAGAATAGCGGCACTTGCAGTGACAAACTGGTGATCTACGACGACGCCAGGATCATCGACAGCCAGTCGTTGATCTTGACGTCGCCGAGAATGGTGCACGAGATGACCTGCAAGTGTCGAGACGGATTCACCGGCGAGAGGTGCGAGAAGAGGCAGGATCCTTGCTCTTCGAATCCTTGTCTGCTGGTAGGTGTCGAGGATTTTTGTCCTCTCGACCTTCGGCTTCTTCCAAATTCGACAAGATCTTACATTTCGATGTCGCCGTGTCTACAGGGTGGACAGTGCCGGCGCCTGGGTTACGATTTCCAGTGCATCTGTCCGATCGACCGCGAAGGGAAATTCTGCGAACTGGAACGAGGGGATGCCTGCGCGAGCAATCCGTGTCGAAACGGTGGCTCCTGCAGAAAGAGTCACGACAGCTTCAGTTTCTTCTGTCTGTGCCGAGCTGGCTACAGAGGGAACCATTGCGAGGCGGTCACCGACTCCTGCAGGCCCAACCCTTGTCTTTACGGAGGACTATGCGTAGGGGAGAAACCTGGGTAAGTTTATCGACGATCCTATTCAAAGCACACACGCATCTCAAATCCAAGTTCACCGATTCAATCTTAACCGTTCGAGTCCCAAGCAGCGCGGTCGCGCTGTTGAGATTTTATGTCGAGAAAACCCAGCACGTTTCGAACATTGTGGACAACCGACGGTGCGTTACCGATTGTCGAAGCGCGCTCAGATTTACCGAAGCAACCCCTTATACTACGCTGAAGCCCGAGTGTCGGAGATTATTTATAATATTATATATGTATATTATGTTATATATATATATATTATTTATATTATTTATTATATTATTATATTATTATTACATTATTTATTGATATTATTAAGACTCGAGTCAGACACGTGAAAATAGTGCAAGGGGTTAATGTAAATAGTACATTTTACAATAGGTAGAATAATACTACAATGATGCAATAATACATTACAATATACAAATTTTGAATTCATTATTATTGCGCCGCTTGGTATTTCTCGACGTAAAATGAAACAAGCGCTGTCGCGCTGCTTGGGTCTTTTCGTACTCATTTAGAGAAACCGCGGTTGCGCTGTTTGGGATTCTTCGACAGTGTTTTTTCAATACCCCCTGGGACTCAAACGGTCAATACGTTGAATGCCACGAGTGTCACCGGTGACCGGCGCTTAACTTGGCGGTGACGCCATGGGGGCCACCGGTGACCGACGCGCCCAAAATTGATAGAAATATATATAATTTAAAATTAATTAATTTTATTATTATATATATTATATATAATATTATTATATAATATAATAATTATTATTAATTATTATATTAATTATTATATATATATATATATATAACTTGAAATTAATTTAAAATTTAATCTAAAATTTTGTATTATTACCATCGTCAATTCAAACTGTGATACCCGTCGCAATTAACATGTCAAACATGGTTACGCACTGTAACTTATCTATTGCAGATAATATTTCAACATTATATGTATCGCATAAAAGAAAATTCATCGTGACGCCACGAGCAATTTCTGTAAAACCGGCGTGGCATTCAACTTGTTACACTGTAACACGTTACTGAACACTGTAACTCAGTTCATTCGAAATATTTAGGTACAGATGCAGCTGCCCCGAAGGAAGGTACGGAAGGCACTGCGAACGTTCCACGTTCGGGTTCGAGGAGCTTTCCTACATGACCTTCCCAGCTCTGGACTCGAACACCAACGACATAACGATAGTGTTCGCGACAACGAAACCGGACGCTCTGCTGTTGTACAATTACGCCCCGCAAACTGGGGGACGATCGGACTTCGTGGTGCTGGAACTGGTGAACGGAAGGGTGGTGTTTTCTTACGGAGGCGCGAGGAGCGCCATCACCTCGATCACCATCAAAACGGAACAATCGATGTCCGACGGGGAGTGGAGAAAGGTGACGGCGACGAGAAATGGCAGAGTGGTGTCCTTGAGCGTTTCCACGTGCAGGGAACACGGCGACATTTGCGACGATTGCGGACCCGAAGACGGCACCTGCTATGCGGACGACATTGGTTCTACAGGGTTGGTATCTTTAACAAATTCTTCCACTGTTGCATCAACGGTGGACAATTACAACATTAGTAACAATGCAATTTTCTTCCCACAGTACATTGAACTTCAACAACAACCCCCTTCTGGTCGGTGGCCTCGAGAACGCAGACCCTGTGCTCGAAAGACCAGGCCAGGTGCACTCGGACGATTTCGTCGGATGCGTGCACTCTGTGTCCATAAACGGCCGAGCCTTGAACCTGTCGAACCCGCTAGCCTCGAGAGGCGTCAAATCCACCTGCATTCGATCGAACAAGAGTCCCTGCCTCAGGGACACCAAGGACTCCGTGTCCGTTTGCGGAGGAAACGCGAGGTGTTACGACAAATGGCACCAAGTCACTTGTCAGTGTGGATCGGTCACCGCGCCCAATTGCGACAATGCTCTCGAATCTGTTACCTTGAGCGACGGTGGCTTCGTCGAATTCAAGGTCAGAGAACTACCGATCGATACTCTTTATTCATCCAGGTTTTCGAATGAGTCGAAGAAGTCTGATCGTTCTCTTCGCAGGTTTCCGAGAAACACAGAAGGATGCAATTACTGGAATACCTGTACGGCGGCACAACCTTGTGGCACGCGACCAACCGACAGAGACGATCGATCACGGAAGATAATAGCTTCATAAGCAGTTCCTCGCCGTTCAAGACGATCGGACTGATGTTCAGGACAGTGAAATCCGACGGCGTCCTCGTGTACGCTGCCACGAACAAACACTTCACATCTGTGGAGGTAAGAGACTCATAAGTTGTGCCATTAACCCTTTCGCTACGGCAGCTCCATCCGTCGAAGTACCGTTACCGAACGAAAACTCGCTCCAAAAATCTGCACAGTGCGCGTGGTTTCTGTGTATACAAGGTGTCCCGAAAATGTCTCGCAATCCGGAAATGGGAGGTACCTGAGGTCATTTCAAGCAACTTCTTGCTTAGCGAAAATACAATCCGAGGCTTCGTTTACGAATTATTAACGAAAAACACTGACCAATGAGAGGCGAGCTCGCCTAGCGCTAGGCAGCCGAGCCAAGTTTTGGCCCCGCCGTCAAGCGGTCGAATCCCAGCTCAGCTGGCGCGAAGCGGCCGAGCCGACGGCGCCAGTGGTCGAGCAGTCAAATTCCAGCTCAGCTGGCGCGAGGCGGCCGAGCCAACGGCGCCAGCGGTCGAGCGGTCAAATTCCAGCTTAGCTGGCACGAGGCGACCGAGCCGGCGGCGCCAGCGGTCGAGCAGTCGAATTCCAGTTCCACTGGCGCGAGGCGGCCGAGTCAACGGCGCCAGCGATCGAGCGGTCGAATCCCAGTTCCGCTGATTGGCTCGGCCGCCTCGCGCCAGCTGATCTCGTCTCTCATTGGTCACTGTTTTTCGTTAATAATTCGTAAACTACGCCGCGGATTGCATTTTCGCTAAGGAAAAAGTTGCTTCAAATGACCCGAGGAACCTCCCATTTCCGGATTGCGAGACATTTTTGGAACACCCTGGCGCCCGTACCCACAAGTCGTCGAGTTGATGCCGCATATATGCGGCGCTCGGCGTGAAAGGGTTAAATGTAGATTAAACGAGGATCTTCCAGATATGCTGGACGATCGAGGGAGAAATTAATACCATAAGCCTAAACCCTCTAAATTTCGCGATACCTAAAATGATCTTCGTTGTTCCAGCTTCGAAACGGCCAACTGTTCTACGCGTCCCTATTGGGTTCCCCGGTGAACATGTCGGCGAACATCGAAGGCGGTCTCGCGGACGGCCGCTGGCACAATCTGACCTTGCACTCGTACTTCCGGGGGCTGAGGCTGTTCGTCGACGGGGTGCAGACGGGCGAAGAGCTGGACTCGGCCGGTGTACACGATTTCCTCGACCCGTATCTCTCCGTGCTCTCGATCGGCGGAGTCAGCCAGGACCTGTATCACGCTCAGAGCGCTGGCGCTAGGAGCTTCGAGGGTTGCTTGGCCAACTTCACCGTGAACAACGAGATACAGCCGTTCAACGGCAGCGGATCGATCTTCAAGGAAGCGCTGTACCACGGCAAGGTGAGCACAGGGTGCCGAGGTCCGATCGGCATCAGCGCCGTGGCCACCGCCGATCCTCTGAGCATCGGTATCACCCTGGTGATAGTGTTCTTCGTGATCCTGCTGATCGCGATCTTGGTCAGCTTCATCGTGTTCCGTCTGAGACGGCAGAACAAGGAGAAGAGCGCGCCCTCGGTGGTGAACAAGAACACGAACGCTATCATGACCGGGAACCCTTTGGTCGGCGCTGGGAACGACAACATGATGTCGCGGCACGAGAACACGTACATTTCGGACACCTCGGACCTTCGTGGAGTGGGCCACATGGGTCCCGAGCTGATCTCGAAGAAGTACAAGGAGAGGGAGATGAACGCAGCCACGGAGCACCGACCGCAGCGGCCGGACATCATAGAGAGGGAGGTGACCAAGTCACCCCCTATCCGGGACGAGCACCCGCCGCTGCCTCCGCCCGCTCAGACCTCTTTGCACTCTCACGAACACAATCCGGAACCTGACATGCCGGAGCACTACGATCTGGAGAACGCTAGTTCGATCGCGCCCAGCGACATCGACATCGTCTACCATTACAAGGGCTACCGGGACGGGATGCGGAAGTACAAAGCCACCCCTCCGCCCATCAGCAATTACACGAACCACCACAAACACACCGGCCAGCAGCACAGACACGCCGGTCCTTTTCCTCCAAGGGCTCTGCCACCACCCAACGTCAGTCAACCGACCGGACCCACGCAGAAGCTGCTGCAAAGTACGCCTCTAGCGAGACTGTCGCCTAGCAGCGAGCTCTCCGCTCAACAGCCGAGGATACTGACTCTGCACGACATCAGCGGGAAGCCGTTGCAAAGCGCCTTGCTAGCTACCACGTCCTCTTCGGGAGGTGTCGGCAAGGACGCGCTGAACTCCAACAGCGAGAGGAGCTTAAACTCGCCCATCATGAGCCAGTTGTCCGGCTCGACTGCCAGCCGCAAGGCTCCCCAATCGAACAACGAGAACTCCGTGAACAACGTGTCTTCGGGGCCCATGGGTCTAACCGCCGAAGAGATCGAGAGACTCAACTCCAGACCCAGGACGTCCAGTCTCGTGTCGACCCTGGACGCTGTCAGCTCGTCCAGCGAGGCGAGAGGACCACCTACTCACGGCCCTCTTCATCTTCACAGGCGGCACACGCCTCCTGTCGAGAGACTCGAGCGCAGAAACTCGTCGACGACGGACGAGAGCGGGAACGATAGTTTTACTTGTTCCGAGTACGATAATACCTCACTGGTGGGTGACAAGAGGTCCGACAACCCTTTTGCTAAACCCGACGACGAGGAGGTCAACCAGCGCAGCAACGAGTCCTCGCAGACCAGCAAACCGCCGTTGCCGCCGAACGTGAACTACGACGGATTCGACAGCTCTTTTCGAGGATCATTGAGCACGCTAGTTGCCTCCGACGATGATCTTTCGACGCACATGGGCGGTCTTTACAGACCCGCCAGCAACGGATCCCCATCGACCACCACCACGGCCCTCAGCTGGGACTATCTCCTCAACTGGGGCCTGAACTTCGACAGCCTCGTCGGCGTGTTCATCGACATCGCCGAGCTGCCCGACAGTGCCAACAGGGTGCCCAGCACCCTTCGATTACCGGCTAACATCCCGAAGCCGTCGGAGGAATACGTTTAATAGTCCGGTGCGATCGACCATCTGCTTGAAAAAGCAGAACGCCCTAAGTCATAGTTCTCCTTTAAACGCTTCTCGCATCATCCTCGCGCGGATGACTCTTCAGTGTAACGGTTAGAACGAGCAGAGGCTCTCGAATGGCGCCTGGCAGTGCGCTCCGAACTGAAAGAATCGGTAAAGTGCTCAACGGGAACGTGCAACCACCAAAAAAAAGGCGGCGACGACGACGCAACGGTAACGATCGACCGATCAGTGTTAATACGCTTTAATCGCTGAACCGAGCGATTGCGGAACGCGACGAACGTTCTTCTAGATCTGTAAGCGAATCGGCGCGTGCCTCCGGTTCGTCGATCGACGAGATCGACTCGGAGAACCGGGGATGCAACCCGTGTCTTGCCATAACCAATAGGATCCTCGATCGACCCTTTCACCCTCTCATCGACCTGCGAACTTGTAAATACGCCCGCGGCTTTTTTCTGTCTTTTTTTTGTTTTTTTTTTTAATTAAAAACGAGGTTCCCAACGGACGGACTTCCGGTCGGATTCGCGCGGATTCGTCGCGGCAAACTTCCTGTCGGCTGCGAGTTCCTCCGCGAGTTTATGGTCGGCGGTAACATTGCGCGACTGTATCGAGCGAAACTCGAACCACTTTTGTGAACCCTTGGATGGCGGACATTCCCGCGGCGAGGTACATTTCGTCCGGTGCTTGAACGTTCCGAGAGTATTTCCAAGATCTTGAGGCAATTTAGGGAAACAAATAGTTGTATTTAGCGTGTCGTAGTTACTGTGATTGTGTCGTGATTTTGCGGAGAGACGAAGCAGCGGACAATGAAGCTGCACCGTTTCTCAAGAATGCGATCTTCGCGATGTTCGATTACGTTGCGAAAGCGATCTTTCAGAAATCGTGGTACGACTATCGAGAGCTACTTGACAAGCTTTTCGATACCGATAGCAATTTCATTCGTGAACCTAGAAGTTACCTCGAGTTAGGTATTTTACACGTGACAACGAGAATGCTCGTTGGCTCATTAACATCGACGTACAAAACATTAACCCTTAACGGTCCGGAAGTATATCAAGTTTACTTCCCACCTGGTCCAGGCTGTTTTTCAAATCAAAACAAGACTGAATTTGCATGCGAATAACACAAAAGTACACTTACATAAAAACGGTAAAAGATAACGAAACATAGATAAGAAGCAGAGACCTAATTCACAAAAATGACATGGCACAATATTTAACGCATTACTAGTACACATAACAACGATCACAGCAATAAAAATAATAAATCGGTTCTTGCCGCCATATGCGCGGCATCGGACCCAGTAAGTAAAGTACAATGCCGCTCGTACGGCGGCATTGGTCCGTTAAGGGTTAATATTCCTAAAACAAAGCAGCTTCCGTGTCCGCTGTTGCATATTAAAAATCATACGGTTCGCTTTGCACGAATCTCGTATTGTCTTCTCAACCGTTTGAGTCCCAGGGGTTATTCAGAAAACACGGTCGAAAAATGCCGAACAGCGTGATAGCGCTTGTCTTAATTGATTGCGAAGAGAACCAAGCGGCGCGATGGCGCTCGTCAAGATCGACAAACAGGACAAAAAGAGAAAAAATGAAACAAAGCAGCTATGCGATGTACGCGCGTCGCTAAAGTTTGATCGCGACGCTAGATCTGAACAGCGCGATCGCGCTGCTTGGGACTCAAACGGTTAACCCTTTGCACTCGAAGCAATTTCAACTGTAAATCTAAATTAACTTTTCTGACTTATATATATATATATATATACAGTATTTCCATTTTATACGACAAAGTGCGTTTCATGCATATGAAATTGAGTCTTGCGACTCGTACGACAGTTAGACTTTTAACAATCTTTTTATATCAAAGCTTCGATAATATAAATATTATCTTGGAACGTGATGTAACAATTTTAGTGGTGCCTCAGAGTCACCGCTCGAGCGCAAAGGGTTAATATTGCCACAAGTTCGATAGTACTTGCGCAGAAATCTGTAGCTAGCAACGGCTAAGTCAAAATGGCAGCTAGCTCCCGACGACTCGGACAAAGTTTCCGCGAGAAACTTAGGACGAAATGGATCCGGACACCGCCGTCCATGGGTTTAGCCCAAACATAGGTTTTAGAACTTGACAACTCGTGTATATAAATGATTTCGACGCGCTCGTGCCAGATAATCTCGATACTGTCGCGCGATAATTAGCGATCGCGTGACGGAACTCGTCGAAGGCGGGCAAATCGTAGCTGCGCGACGACCTTTGTGCACCTCGAGTCAACGTTTTCGCGTAGTCACCGGGATGATTGTCGTAGCATTTTTAAAGAGGAGGCGAGAACAATAGGTCGGAAACGTTGAACGAGACGTAACTACCAGACTGATTTCATTCGCGCTATCGATGGCGCCTAATCGTAGACCCTCCCCCCCTCATCTTTCTCACCGTGGATCGTCGAGATACTGTAAACTACCGCGAAACCGATTTTTCACTTTGTAAATAGTCGTGCGACTGAGCTGTACAAAATGTGCGAATGCCACCGCGTGTATGTATGTATTATCTTATCAACGTATTTGTAATGAACGAAACATTTTTAAAATAAAACTGCCGATCGATCTTTTTATTGCTGACCTCTCCCAAACGCGTATCCCCCGAGTCTGTTCGCAAGATATTTCGAAGAATTGTTTAAGGCTTGGAATCCTTTTTAATTCGATTGGTCGGAGAATTCATCGCCGTTACGATAAATAGACGTTGACATTTTTACGAAACTTTTTATTCGATCGTTGGCTGCCTTCGCGCAAGAAACAAGCTCGTCGTAAGATTGATTGGACCAGCGTACAGGGAATAATTGTACAATTGTCGTATAAGCCGCGATTAAGTCTGCTCGCACGAATTATGGTCGAGCGAAGGGTTTAACTTCCATCGGGCAAATAATCCGAATGAAAATTATTTCGCAAAGACGATGAACTCCGCCCTGAACACGCTTCGATTCTTCCTATCGATTTAATATTTTGTAAGAAGAGAACGACGAGCCGTCGATTAAATGACCGCTCGATGCGAAACTATTTAATTTCGAATTAACACGAGAATCATTCTTGTTCCCTTGCGAGAGGCAACTCGGACTTACTTTCAATTAATTACTAAAACGCGCTTTGATCGGTTAGCATGTTCAGATAATGATATCTTCATTCCCGTCGTACGACGAAGAGCAGCCTTTGAACAGCGCGTATGCGAACATTAGCCTAATCGCCGACAAAGCTTGGACTTTCGACAAAGAGGACCCATTTCAAAAATTGAATCAATCTCTGTGGCATCAGGTGATACGATCTCCGATTTATTACTTATCGCTAGATAAAAGAATCCGGGTTTTTTTTCATTAATATTCTCTGATAAACGTTCGTTTCTTGCTGTTACCAGACCGAGGTAAAACGAGAACTTTAATCGATGTAATCGTTGTTCGCGCATGCTAGGATACTTTATGATTCGTAGGGAACTGCTAAAAAATATTTACTTATCGATGGATTACCGAAAGCCAAATAAAAACACTGCGATATATTAATTTGCAATTGTTCGGTAATACTTGTTCTTCAAACACGTGCGTCAGGCTCTTAAATCTTAATTAAAATACGAACAGCCATTCGGGTTTCTTGCAGTATTGTAAGGTGTCTGAACGGTACAAAGAGAACGGCCATCATTGTCGAAGACGCGTTCGCGATGTCATTCCCGTGTCCCGGTTGTCAATTTATGGCAATTACGAGTACAACGAGGAACGTGAGAGCTTTTATAAACCACATGGGAATACCACGAGCATCCCAAGCGCGAATTATTGTTGGACGGATGTCACCGAACCCTGGATGCTATCGGATGTGGAAAAACTCTTCGCCTGGTTAACTTCGAACAGTCCGGAAACGAGTCGTGAACTGTTAGTTAGAACTTAATTACGATCCGTAATTGTTATTACAAGTCTCTGTAATTGCCACGACCGCAGCTCGATAACAATTTACGTTTACAGAGATTAATTTGTAATCGATCGTTACATTTCACTATTTAGGCCATTTTGTAAAAATTCTGCGGAGCACAAAATTTTCTTGCTAGAAAATTCTTTTGCTGACTAGAAAGCGTCGAAAGAAAAATGCTTCTCGTTTTTATAGCATACGCAGCTCTTATTACTTAATACGCACGAAAAAGATATAAATGGAGATTATTTTTAAACCCGGATCTTTTAGGAGCTCAACAATCAGGGCGACGGAATCTGACGATTTATCAAGAATTGGATGCGGCTTTATATCGCTAAATCCAAGTCCATTGGAAAAGAAGATCGGGACGAGCCATGAGGCTAGAAACGAGCCGCAATTGGCTAAAGAGATCAATTTAATCGGTAATATTCCATTGATTAATCAAGAGAATATATTCAAAGTTCGTCTCTGAATCCGATATAAAATTATCATCTACATCGTAACAAATTACGCTGTTTTCTTATCTTTTTCGTTCGGAGACAAAATTAGTATCGATAAATTCTAGCATAATAATATATACGATGCACGTTCAATCGCCGCTCCAGCGAATTGAACGGAACGTAAGAGAAAATGGCGGCCATATTGGAAACTGAGGACATGGATGCTTCGCGCAGTTGCTTTCACAGATCCTTCGAACATCGTTCTGGATCGATCAGTTTTGACAAATTTACACAAAAGATTGCTTATTTCGTATTAGATATCTCGTGCTTTGCATATTCCAACGATACTTCGTACAATTATTCCTGGTACATTGAACCTTTGATTATGCAAACGGAACATCAATTGCCAGACGAAAGTCCAAAAGAACCTAATTCCACGGGCATAAAAATTTGTAGAAATAGTCGGCATCGGAATCCTCTTCTCGCGATTACTAAAATCATCGAAATACTGGTTTCTGTACTCACAATTCGCAACTTCTCCTCAACTTCGCGTCCTCGAAGAATCAAACACCAGGAAGAGACCGGACGATCATTATTACGGTCACCAACGATACACCATCGAGAACTCGATGGAGATGCAACTGCACATTCGAGTGAACAGCGAAGCCGTCCGAAGTTTATGGAAATTAGGCAACAGCCGGGAACAGTTCGGTCAGCAAAGGACGCGCCTGCCGTGCCATCGTCCTCAACCGGTCGCAGCGACAGCCGCTGTCAACCCTCGGGAACAAAACTGCCAGAGGAAAGATCGACAACAGCAATTCTACTATGCTTTCCAGTATCGGCCACTGATACTCAGAGCAGAGTATCAAACCGCGAGGACGGAAACCCACGCGATCCCGAGGAAACATTTTCCACCGGTTCTCAGTCCCGAAGTACCAGAGTTCTTTCCGAAGATTTCAGTGACGAGATTCAACAAGGAGCATAACAACAGCAGGATGCAGTACTTTCCTTCGCTGAACGAGAGGAGCTACCAGAACGAGCTGTTTCCTTACAACAGGGTCCATGAGAATGCTGGATCGTTGTACCAGGTTTCGATAATTAACAAATTATCTTATTTCATATTTACAAGGGAGAGATCGCGAGAGATCTCGCTACTTATTTATTATTTCATTATTTATAATTACAATTAATATAATACAATTCATTATTTATAAAGATGTTTTACATTCGATCTTTATGATTTCCACAAATACTGATTCAATAGAAACACACAACGATGTACATCATTCTAAACTATTATAAAAGTAACTTTTATATTTTTACTGACATTTAAGCAAAGACTTTAAAAAAGCTGTATTTAGTAGCTCTAATTATTTCAGAGCACAACAATACCCCTGCTGCCAGCAACAGAGACCACGACCTTCGTCCGTCCTCCTCAGCAATGGTACCAAAGGATACCAGCGACTGCGCAGATTCAAATAACGTCTTCCGGTGCATCGCCCACCTGCACCACGGTGCAACCCCTGCGAACAACCATCACCCACCATCCTCTGCAAGTGCAGGAGAAATTGCTGCAGTCGAACCCCATACCGATACCTGTCTACCAGCACCCGATCGAACTGTACCACGAAACCGGTCAGAAACGGAAGACGCAAGGGGTCGACTTCAAGAACCTGATTCTGCTGACGAGGAACGCTATGAAGGCGCAACGAAGTCTTTCGAAGCCGAGCCAACTGAAACCGCAGACTTCCTACGTTCTAGAAACGAGGAGTCGGACCACGAAATCGGACTCGAAGGTGCTCCGATGGCTGGACAAGAGCTGCCCTTCGAGAACCAAAGAGTTTACCACTGCGAACACCTTGGCGCCCGAACTGAGGCGTTTTGAAAACAAATCAGAAAGGAAGGCGGCGAGTTCGAAAAGGGAGAAGGAGAGTTCGAAGAATGTGGACCGTGCGAGACCGGAAACGGGAATTGGCGTACACAGGGTAGCTGCGAAATCTAGTGGAGAGAGAGAGAAGGGTGACACGAGGAGCAGAAGAAGGCTTTACAGGGACGTTTTGGCGAACACTGCGGTGAACCAGGCTATGTTCGAGAACGTGTTTGAGAAAAGGTAAGCGCGATCAGATTCAAGTCCTCGCATCGTTGGAATTCACTTTAAAATGGTACAAAAACTGAACTGATAGAACGTTAGCATATTAGTCTTAATTTACAGTATGCAATTTTAACAATGATAAAACCTAGTCATCTCCAACCCTGTATATATAAAATATAGGTATTAAATTATAGATATAATATATAAATATTCCAGATACGACGAACTGGAGCAACAAGCAATGGAGCAGTACAGGACTTCGGAGGAGTCGCTGGCGCTCAAGTATCAAGTAATTAATTTTCACTCGCCTTGAGGATTCTACTTCGGATGGAAACATCACGGGATATCTCTTAATAAAGAAGGGGGCAATTTGAACGCAGGAGCTGGAGCGTCAGGCCATGGAACAATACAAGGGATGCGGAAACGTACCAGAGGATTGTTCGGTTCCGCAGGAGGATAAGCCGGTCGTAGCAGGTACATCAAGGTGCTTCAAAGATAAAACAAGCTGCTTGGACGGAAAACAGTGTTCTGGCTTCGGCTGGTGCAGCCCAGTGAGCGTGGACGAGAATGGGGAGAAAGGTTACCACTTTTATCGTGAATTCTGTGGCTGCAAAGAAAACCGTCATAAGTCACGCGTTTCCCAAAACTAGAATAAAAGATGAGATTAAACTAGAAAGAAAACGTTTTAAGCAAACTATTTCTTCTTTAAAGATAATAATACCGAAGTCGACGGTGAAGAATGCGATTCTTGATACTTTAAAAGCTTAGTGTATCAAAAGTGAAACCATGTGGCTTAGGTATGTTTTCCTTTTGCAACCCGACGTTTTGCAAGCTTGCAATCTTCTTCGAGTCGAGCTTTATCCTAGTTTTTAGCATAGCGATCGTGCAAGGCGGTTTCGGTGACTCGTCTGACAATTTAATTGACTCAATTTCAAGCGATAGAAGGTGCATTGCTTTCTTTAGCTTGACGAACATTACAAGCTTCTAATTACGTACTCGCTAGTGAAATCAACTCGCAGTCCATTAATTATTATATACGCGTCCCTAGTTTCTTTCCTGCATGGACAAGTTAATCTCACGCAAGCTGAAAATAAAAACGAGACTGGGTTCCAGACTCGTACGTCAACGGATAAACATCCACGAGCGACCGTTCTATCGAACAGTCTGACTACACTGTCCCAAAAAATCTCTTACGGATCGAAAAACACATGTAAGGGTGCATCAGGTGACAAGATCAACAAAAGCGGTAAATATTGCATCCCCCTTAAATGTCTTTAATAATACGTTGCTTCTCTTTCCCTATCTTTTTTAACAAACTCCGAATGTGTTCTTTGAGCCCTAATCTTGTATTACTCCAGTGAAATACCCTACACTCCATTTAGAAATTAGCGCCCTAATTATTTTTTACAGAAAATTAAATAAAATTTAATTAATATAAATTACATAAATTTAAATGAAACTTATATAAATTCCTCACATCTCTCATGAGTAACGCAGAGGCTAACATCCCTGGATAATAAAAAAAACTGAAGTATCTGCATGCGCCAGCCTGAATAACTGAAACAAAGGATAATTATTGAAATAAAAGAACGATCGTTGGAAGTGGCGTTACACTGGCTATTTGTTAATAAGTACCGTGAAAGAATCGTTCTAGTTTCAGTGCGAGCCTCGTCAAAAAGGCGTCTGATACTGGTGTCACCCTACGAAAAAGAATCAGAAGCCAAGTTGACGAGAACGACTGACCTGGAAGAATTCTACTGCATTGCCCAAGCAAACAGAAACATCTTTGGTTACTACAACAACTCGAAGATTGCGAAACTCGGCGGCGGGGATGAGAATATAACTATCATTCAATCGCCTAGAACAGAAGGTACCTTCGACAATCTTCCAGTGCTGTGACACTTTATGAACAACACAATAGTTTTTATTTTTCTTCAATCAGTGTGGCTTTCCGGGTTCTGGACCACTTGAAAAACAGAACTTTTGAAGGATTATTGGAATCGGTACGAAGGATGGATATGTATTCATCAAAAAACGCAACAACGAATTAGTTCATGTATACAAATATAATAAATGATTCAATACTGTATCGTGTATATATATATATATGTATATATATATACTTTCTTTCTAATATAAATGTCTCGACAGATTTTGTTACTGAATACGCAGACACGAGCAACATACACATTTTCATTCTACGATATTACATCAGTTTGTTCATTAATCGTTCAACGAACGGCAAGAGTATGTTATTCTACGAATTATGATCATGCACCAAGAAATTAGCACTGTTATTCTATGCGGCTTTATAGTTTTCATAATTATTCTTTATCAAAATTTTCCACTATAGTTTTTTCGAGGAACACGTCGATAATGAATTGTACAAAATCAAATAAAACAGCTTCTTCAGTCTTTGTTGAATACTTTTCGTCGCATCTGAGAAATTTCTATGACCTAAATACTGATAATTACGACCTGTCCTTCGACAAAGGAAGAAACTTTGAGAAACGCTGTTCAAAAACATAGCATTTATAAAACGATTGTAAAAGCATTAATTGTCAAAAACTTATGTATAATATTTGTATATAAACTTCCTGGTATTATAACGAGAAAGAATTTGCGTAAATATTAAATTAGTTTCGATATGCACATTGTTTAACTCTGGTAAACTAATTACTCCTAATACTATACTTATTCCATAACTAGCACGTTTTTCATAGCACATAAAGTATACACAATTGTATACACTTATAATTTGAGATCATTACTGATTCTTATATAGATACTGAGAGCGTATCTTGACAGAAGAACATGATAATTCTAGAAATTTCCACCTGTACTGCCATGGCATTATTACTTCAGGAACTAAAGTTATGGAAACTTTAATTAACGCAATCTTATATTAATAAGAATACTAATGTTAAATAAAAAAATCACTGTAATAATTACTAAATAAAATATTAACATTCAGTCGTTTACCAGTTATCAAGAAATTCAAAACCAGTCTTTGGTATAGGCCTCTCCTCATCCTCCGGATTGAGTTGAGAAGATTGAAAGCTACTGTAAGAACTAGGTGTCTCTAATAGCGCGGTCGACTCGTTAATATCGCTGGATTTTGTGCGTGACATTACAACTAATGTATTCGACTGACTCTTATCGGTGTCAGAGTCCCTCTCCCTGACTAAGCTCTCCATATCATCGTCTGAATTATTTTGTAACTTCAATAGAGAAGTCTTGTTCATTAACTTAGTGAATATACTTTCAGAATGATCGTCTCCATTGTTTTTTAATAACTGTTTATCATCATAAATACTGCTTATAAAACAATCGGTCTGAAAGCGACTAACTTGATGGGAAGCATAAGTATCATTCAGAGAATTTGAATTATTTCTCTGCGATTTGGTGGGACTAGAGAAATGTGGTGACTCTCCAAATTGAGCTCTTATCAACTTGGACTTGGTGTCCTCTGTTGAATCTATTATACTCAAATTTATCTGAGATTGAGTCATGAATGAAAATGGAGCTGAGTGCTCATCTCTCCATCGTAGTGTCTACAATATTACAGTAATATAAGTTCAATGTAATACTGCATGTACAATATCTTACTACCGCATGTAGTAATACTGCATGTCACAATATACTTACAGAACCAGTCTCGTCAATGACATACTTCATACCAGTCTGAATACGTAATTTTGGATACCATTCTGGTAATTCTTTAGTGAGTTCAACTTTCTTCAATGTATATTTCAATGCCACTTCTGGCGGGATAATAGTTTCATTTATTGCCTGATTACGTTCTGCTGTACTTAAGGTGTTCCATAGTCCTTCGTAAGCTTCCTTTGTTGCTGTAATCTCTTCTCCTATTCTTTGAGCCAAAGGATTTATACTGTAGAAATATTGTTCAGCTCTTGAGCCCAATGTAGCACTCATAACGAAATCTTCAAACTAATATAAACGAGTTATCTGCAACAATGGGACATGATAGTTTATAAAATAATTAATAAAAGACGCTAATCTGTACATACAATGAGAGATGATCAACCATAAAATTAATAATGAATAGACCCAGTTAAAGGTTACAACACCACGCAAAATCATTTGATTCTTAACAAATATGCAATCCGTCGAGACATTTGACAAAAGAAGAGTTAATTATAATAAATATGAAATGTATAAAATAAGACAATACTAAATGAATGTCTGAGGTGATATCTATAAGTATGTTTATTATAACACCTCTATACAATAATGCAGTAACACTTGCGCGTGCGTACATTTGCGGTAACACACTTTTAGCGCGAAACTTTCTTGATTCTTAGGGTTACAAAAAGTCGCCGAAGTGCTTAGAATGATACGTTCATTTTTAAAAATTTACAATTTTGCGTGTATAAATAATATCATGTCCACGAACTGACAGATAACTACAGTACTAAAACTGTATTATAGCTACATCTTACATCTGAAGTGGACGTTGATTAATTACAAATTTTAATTTGATTGTCTGCTTAGCTAATAACTAATTGAATTGTCAATTTAATCAATGTTTAAGTACTTACTTCGGTTAATTGCAGTTGTACATCAGATAAACTGACTTGTTAATCACAATTTATATGGAAATGTTGACTTTCGAAACGGTGTTCTCTTTACGAAATCCCGCGTTGAATTAATACATATGTATCTGGTAATATCTTAAGAAAGTAGAAAACGTGTATATATTAGTGCGAAACAGATATGCGAAATTTGAAATTTCATACTTCATATAATAATATTAAATTGGAAAGGAAATATATTAAATCATTAATATTAAACATTTCAATGATTTATTTCCATTCTCATCATTTAAAGATTTACTATAATATATTTCTATGATTTTTGTGATTAGACATTTAAAACGAATCTTTTTGAAGAAATTAACAAACAAATCAGCTGGAGAGATATACTATACTATACTTAAGTGTTCAATAATAAAGCTGTTTAAACTTACAAAAGTGATGATAACCGAAGAACAATCTAATGCCCTAGTATTAGAAGCTGCATAACTAACTGGATTTCACTGAAATTATCATATACTTCATTGTTCTCTTTTATTATCATACAAATATATACAATATCGTTATTTTAAATCAGTTCTTGCGCGTTTAGTAACCGTTTCTTTTATACTTTATAATTTAAACGGAACGGATTGCTTATTTTAAAATGTACACAGTACACAAAGAATGACAATTATTTACAGACAGCAATATTTCAACAGGAATGGTAATAAATAAATCGCGTATGATATCCATGAGAATTAAGGTCGTCGCCCACGTAACAATACATAATATTAAAACACATCAGATTAACATCAACGTGTTCACATTATTATGTGTAGTACAAATATGAATATGTTAATTTATTTATAACTTTCTAACTGTAAATATTGGTCATTAATCATTAATGACTAATTCAAAATATTTTTCAAAATATTTACCAAAATATTGAAATTCTGGTTAAAGCAAACTTAATATTTCAATTAATAATTTTTATTAATAAAACAGAAAGTATATTTTGCACTAATCCAATTGGCCAATTCTGGGAGGAAGAATATTACTTACTGATAACGTATTGTATTCTTTGTCATGCGATTACTGATAAAGAATTAATAGAGTCGATTAGCCAATATTCCTCATCTAGTAATAATAATCTTGTAGGTATCTGGCAAACAGCATCGATGTTAATAACTCTATGTTTCTAGTCCAATGTTGTATTGATAAGTGGACGATAACATACTTTAACATTAACTGCTTTAAGTATTACTTACACAATTATTAGTATTCTTTATAAAGACATTTCAAGTATAAACAAGCATATGCTTCAATTGTAATCTATTCTTTCTCCTTTTTATAAAATATATATACAACCGGTAGTGCATCTCGATAATTGATTGTTGAACCATGAACTGAAACTATTTGACAAAATATTTAATTCTTTATTTTTACTTGCACTGCGTGTTTCATCATATACGAGCTGAATCTCCCAAGAATAATTACCATTCTGAAGGTAGTTCCAACAATCTAGTAAAGAAATGTATTGAACACAAACTAGTCATGATTATAAAGTTGTGTTGACCTTGACATGACTTCAGTAGGTCAACAGAAAGTGTACTAAATTGATCAAAAAACTTTTGTTTAAAATTTCTTTAAAAGATTATTGAGAATGTCTGAAAATAGTGATTGATCTTAGAGAATAAAACCTGTATATCTTTCATTCAAGAAACAGACTTTGATTTTGTAACACTGCATAACACGATTATTTACTGCGCGGAGAATCTTTTAAAGTATCCATGGTACATATCTCTTTTTCTGTTTTTCCTTAGCTGAATGAATCTAACTATTAGGTACTTTAGTAACTCTCACCGCGGCACATGCAGTCACACGTGCACATTTAGTGTTCCCAATAACGGATTCGAGAATTCTTGTACTCCACAGTACGTTTATTCAAAAGTATCATGGTTCTGCGTGTAAAAGTCAATAAAATCTTCGCCTCTTTTTTTAATATCGTGCAGGACAAAATATTAACAGTTTCGTATATTGTGTAATTGAACAATAAACACATAATTTGTTATGTTAGTAAGAAGGTGGCACTATGCTTCATGGAACGATAGTTTACCTGTGCGGTATATTTTCAAAGAGTTACTCCCGAAGAATGCGGTTCGATAAGATCTTTTTATTCAAGATTTTTATTTAAAAAAAATATACTAGCAGTGATGATGATTCACGCACGAATCGAAACTCGCATTAAAACTTTTTTTTTTATAATGATATATGACATACACATATATATAGTATGCATACATATATAAATATATATATATACATGCTATTTTGTATATATACATATATATGTACATATACTATTTTGTCAATGATTGTATATCTCAAATCTTGTGTTGTATTACTCTAAATTACCGCAAACACCCCTTCAATCCCCGTTACAAATACTGTATTGCTTTAAGACTATTATAAACTAATGATAGTTAGGTAAATTTAAAAGAAAAAAAGAAAATGGACCGAACGTGAAAAAGAAAAGAGGGAAACGATTTCGTTTATCCCGGAATCTCGTGTCATTCATAGTGTACAGTTTAAGGAAGAACCTGTCGTAAGACCGAAACGATGCGGCGGTACTGATATAAAGACATTTCGTAGCAACGAAAAGTATCAAGATATAAATAGAATTACACGAAACGTAGGCCAAACGCAGAATTGTCCACAGTTACCTGTTTGACAAATGTTTAAGAGGGCCCAAACTTAAAATAGATGTAGCACCGAGTGCTCCTAAATTACAAGTATTAGGATTTCTTGCACTGTCTATCGTAATTATGGGCAACCCGAAATAACCCCCAGTTTGAGCGCTAAGCTGCGAGAGCGGTATATAACTCTGTATACCGAGATTTGATAAACGATTTAATACATGAGGAGATTTCAAATCTACAACTGGCAGTGCCAACTCTGCACCACCATTTTGTGCTACAGTATCTACCTCCTTGTGATACGCTTGCTTATGTGTTATCAGTGCCTGAGCTGTTGGGTACTGAGCAGGACAAAGATTGCACCTGCCGAACAAACGTTATCATTTATTAGTACTCCGAGTATCATAAGATGGAGCTTGCTCGGTGAACTTACTTGTGAAGCAATTTACTTGGCGCACGATGTGTAGCCATATGTTGTGTCAACATCTCTTGATTCTGGAAATTTTTATCGCACACTTGACAAGTGAGCATGGACCTGAAATAGCGCATAATAGTCTTAATTGTCGATAACATCATTTTTCTTCCATTGATCCTTACCGTGGAGGTCTTCCACGTCTGACCACTGGTAATTGCGGTGGACCATCCTGTGTTAAGTCGACGGTAGGTGGCCTCGGTGGTCGCTCCACTTCGTTCACTGCCGTTTTGTTCTGTTTATTCTGAGGAACAGCAAACTGACCTTGCTCCTGTTGCTTTTTTTGCGAACTAGCTGGTATGATAGAAATAGCAGAATTCAGAGTGAGCGCTGTAACATTTAAAGGCTGCTGTGAAGGCATAGTCCTCTGTTGCTGGGAAGGTATCTGCTGTTTGTTTTGTTCGCTTGTTTTATTTTTATTTGCAGCTGGAGTAACAGTAATACCTCTGGCTGCCAGGACATTAGCCACAGCCTTTGCATCAGACTTCTTGCCCCCAGTAACTGCCGTGTTCTGCACTTGAGCTGGAGCGGAACCTTTAGATTAGTAAAATATGTCTTTTTTATTTCCGTAGTCTACCTCTTCCACGATTAGTTATTACAGTTGTTTTGTTATGGTTTATCTCAAAATAAATTCGCATAAATACACCGACGAACTTGACAACAAAAATCCAGTGGAAAATAACAAACAACTTAATATACATATAATAAAAATAAAGAAACTAATTCTTAGAAGAGGTTTCAACAGAAAAGAACTAACAGATACAGTATTCGTAATGTAAATTAAATAATATATACAGATTTTTATGTAGACACATTAATCTTACCTGGTTGTCGTACACTAAGCGTTATAGAATCTGTAAGATGTATAGTAGAATCATTTCTATTTTGTTGCGTGGTAGCACCTTGAACGTTCTGTATGACGGGCAGGCCGTCGTTTCGTTTTTGTTGAGCGATAACGTGACAGTCTGCATCTTCGTTCCTATCTGGTAACAAAACGTCCATACGTCGTTGTTTCATAGCAGAATTATTCTGCTGTTGTACTTGCATCGATTGCTGTATGGGACGTTTCATTCGTTGCCGCGGAGATGGTCCGGTTTGTGGAGCCCGCGGTGCCCTGTAAATATGTATGGAAAAATTAAGCTCGATAATAGTTTATATATTTTATCAATTTAACTTTACATTAACTTACGAGTTTCAACCAAAAAATTTACTTATCGGAACAGTAGCTTTTTTCTATATAATGAGCTTGATCAGTTGAAACTTGTAAAGTCGTATATAATACTATGCTAAACTCTAGTTAGATACATTTCTACAGCAGAGTTGGGAAATGTTTAGTGCAATTAATCATTGAGACAATAATGAATAAATATAGAAATTATAAATTTGAATCGATTAATACCCAACTCTATTTTACAGAACACTGAAAATGTTTTTGTGATTGATAATACTTGCCGACTACTTTGTGCAACAGTAGGATACCTTCCACGTGAAATTTGTTGAGACAATTGGGGATGCATTTGTGGTGGTGCAGTCATTTGTGGATATGGACCAGGTCCATACTGCGGATATAGGTGTGCTATATGAGGAGGATAATGCATGCCCTGTGGAGCAGGAACTCTATACAGTGGTGGCCTTCCTGGCGGTTGTACGAAGTAATTTGGACCAGGGATCATTGTATTAGCACCTGGTGGAAGACTCGGAGGCATTTGCGTTTGCGGAAGTGGCATACGTTGTACTTGTTGAGCTAACTGTTGAACAGGTGCAGGCAATTGCTCAAAATTAACTGGTGGTATTAATGGCTGTCCAGTGCTAGGTACTGGATTATATGTAGGAGAATTCGTTTGATGAGGAGAAGTCAAAGGCGAATTCCTGCTTATTTGCTGAGAATTCGATGAATTTGAAGCTTCCATTGGCACTGCATGAGGTGAATGCGTACTCAATTGCGGAGAGGCTTGACTCAAGTGGGGTGAATTCTGATTTAAATGTGGCGAATTTGTATTTAAATGGGGGGACAGCTGGCTCACACTTGGAGACAACGGTGTCCCATGCATTTGAACTTTATGCATAGCAACTTCCATTGGTGAATTAAAAATAAGATTAATACACTCTGAAATATTGCACTGATAGTGGCCAGCTTTGCTTTTATGCTCATCCAAGTGAGCAATATCTTTAAACTTTTCATTACAAACGCGACAGGTACTGACAGTTTCAGCCAACTTTTCCAACGAAACATACTCTGTTTCTGATGGTAAGTTATTTGATAATGTGTCATTTTGATTATGTCGTTGATGCTCAATCAAATTCTGCAGGAGAGATCCAGCACTTTCAATATTATTATCACTCCCGTGCTCGGATTGTTCATCATTGTCTTTAGAAGTCTCACTATTTTTATTAGACAGATTAGTAGACAACTGATTCCAATTGAAACCTGTTGTCCCTTCTGTTGTTTCTTCAGGCTTGTCTTCATCGTCGCACACTGCCCCACAATCTGTTGAATGATTTGGGTATGTCGAAGACTTTGAAATAATACTGATAGCTGGGTTTTCCTCCAAATTATGTATCATGTTGGATTTCTGTTCTTCGTCATCTTCTTCAATACCTGAATTGTCCGTTAACTGATTCCCAGATCTGGAACTGAAAAATAATACAAATTATAATAAGAATAGGAATACTTTTGATTATTCATTACACGACATTTACCCAGACTGTTCACCAAGCTTCTTTAAGTTTTCAATCGTTTCTCTACACGTTGCCTCCAACGCATCTGATTCTTCGTGATCTTCTGTTTCAGAAAGCCTCTTATCTGAACTTTCATATTGATCTGTGCTCTGCAGGTCATCAACATTTTGATCTTCTTTTTCAGATGGGTTGGCCATATCACTCCCTACACCTGAATCACCTTCATTTACATCTATGGATGGTCTATCATTCTCTTCCAAAGGATTATGATTGTCAGTATTGAATTTGATATTTCCATATTCATCCTGTGAATAATATTATTTTATTAACAGGATTAATAGATTTTTCTTAGTTTACTGCTTTAACGTACCTGTTGCTCTACCATCACGTTTTCGTATGGTTGATCAATTGAACTTTCTGTATCTTTGTCATGTCTTCGATCATTCTCCTTTGTCCCAGCCACGTCTCCTTGACGATGAATTTCTGTACTCAGATTAATATTGCTATTTACAACTGTAAAGTCCTTCGACTTTGAGGATTTCTTCAACGTAAGTTTCAGAGAATCTGAGTAGTTCTGTTTTTTTAGCGTAAATTTCAAGCAGCCCTTCTTCTCTGGATCCAACCAGTAGGTACTATTACGTTTTTTTTTCACCGCTTTCAAATTTGTAAGCCTTCTTAGAACTACTCGAGGTGATCCCAAGTGAGTATATATGTGAGAACGTAGTTGTTTCTTTGATACAAACTGCTGTCCACAAATTTCACAATTCAACAATGAAGATTTTAAGGTAAATAACGAATGTTGATCTTCTATGTTTTCACCTGAAATAAAAATTTATATAAAAAATATTTGCAAACACTGCACATTTTAATTTTATTCACTTGATTTTACAATGCTACTATAAATATCTTCGTTTTTATTTTAAAAAACAAAAATGTGGAGATAGAATATCTAACCACCTCTTTGAAAGAAATGTCAAAAGAAAGATGTCTTAATAGTTTGCCGCGCTTTCGTATCTCCTGTCAAATCGATTTAACCAATATCGTCGTTTATCTGCAGTACGCGAGAATCTTAACGTCAATAATATTCATACACAATTTTTATTTCGAACGTTTGCTCGAAGTATCAACGCGCGTTCCCCGTGTTACAACTGATGTAAACAATCGATGCCGATATGTATATGTAGCAACAGCAAGTGATCATGCAAAATGATTGTAGTAGCAGACAACCTAGTGCAGGCGGGATAATTGCCCCAGCTTTTGCCGAGAATTGAAAACAGGACTCACCAAATCGATATCACCTAAAGAACGAATATCATTGGTTCGTTTCGTATTGTACCGCGAAATTTCCACCGTACAGTCGTTCGTACCAAAATACGATTTTTCAATAGAATAACATTACGAATATTCGCTAGCTGCCTCCTACAGGTCGCGATATAACGATAAACTTAATACGTTGCGTTCCATTTCAAAGAAACGCCCAGTTAAGTGCCGGTAGATCGATGAAATAAACCCACCGAAAAAGATTGAAACAGCTTCAACTCTGCGGTTTCGAAGTTCGAATATCGCAAAAAGATAAACTTTGAACCATATATATTTCATCAAAACTAAATGAATATGCATGTATATGGTGTTATATCTATCGGTAATGTAAATTTTGGCGTTTTTCGAGTTGTTAGTTGTTGCTAGTGTCCTAACCTTTATTCGAAGATGCTATATATTCATGGTTCCCACTCAACATTGAATTTCTATTTATGGTAAACGATATTGGGTACACATTGAGATGCTCTTATTATTAATGTATAAGTGAATTTGATTAAATTTATATTCGCAATGATTTTTAATTTTCATTGTTAAACATTTCTTACGTAGGCACAAGATAAAGGTGTCCAAACTTTCTTACTCAAGAAAATAAATAAGCATTATACTGGCATATTTTCCTTCTAACAATATGTAGATGAAACAAATAGAGCGAATTCATATACATGAAGAAAAATTAAATATTGATACTGTTGCATCGAGTCTAACATAAGTAAAAAAAAAAGGAGTTTCATTGAGTTTTAATATTATTTCATCAAATATATGTTACATTGTCCAATTATTATATCCACACTTTGTCTTGTGATCTATTTCTTTCAGTATTTTGGAAAAGGACATACCAAATTTTTGTACATCGTCCTCTGTATCGTCCTTACAAATGCTGCTTTTGTCAGTAAATCTAAATTCCTCAAAGTCTTGATCCAATGAACTGTTCATTTCCAATCTGTGTGCAAAATTATTAATTGTCTCTTTTATTAAGACATAACAGAAATATTATGTACAATTTGTTTATCAACAATAATAGTATTATCTCTTATGTCATACTTACAGGCATTGTTATCAACAATGCAAATTGTATGAAGTCACTGACAAGAATTTTTCTTGATGTAAACAATAAACTTCATTGAAGAACGTGGTGAAATTATTTATCGACGATCGTACGTACATATACGTAATCCATTTTAATAATTAACAGTTCACTTAGTTCCACCTAACATCAACCGTTTTTAGTCACTATGAAAACAAAAAGAGTGAACCGAAGTCCCGCCAAGGTGATACGAACTCACGGAAAAACGATCATTAGTGTTTATAATCGGTGACCACGCGACGAATGTAAACAGAACCAATTAAACAATAACGGCGCAAATTTGTGAACATGCGTCGAACTTCATTGCATTAACTGTGTTCAAGTGAAAAAACAAAACATATACGTTTACTTCCAATTGTCGGTGACTATCGTGAATAGGTATTGGTATATTATATTTGTTGTTCCGATTTGAACACTAAAATCGAATCGTCACGTTCTCATTCGACTCATATGGAAATTAGAAAGAGAGGAAAAACGGTGTATATGTGTGTTATAGTTTCAGTCGTTGTTCAGCCGATGAAGTTTCCCCCGGGTGTCTTGCATTGTTTAGTCAACTATGGCTGCCAATTGTTATGACATGGTCACTGCGCTGTTTATGGCACATTTTGTTGTAGCAACATTCAACGAAGATGAGATCGGCGCGTCAACTGCGATGCCAACCGTACCCAATTTGAACTTATTATTAGTACGTGTTATATCGAGCCGCCAATATGGCGGCGTCGCGATGAAACCCGCGCGTCGGACAGGATAATCAACTCAGTGTGAATTCGTGCCGAACTGTTGAGGCGCGTTCAGAGACGGGTTCAGTGTTCAGATGCGTTGTTTTGTAAGGACGCGCGCGCGCGAACGGGGTAGCGTGCGCCGACCGCTGCAAATGCCGGCCTTCCCCCTCCTCTGCTCTTCTCTCCTCTCCACACTTCTCGTCGTTTCGTTTCGTGTCGTCTCTCGTTTCTTCGTGTCTAACTTCTCCGCTGCACTACCATCACCACCTTTATCCACTTCCGCTCCTTCCCTCCTCCTTTTCTTTTATTGTCTCTTGTCGATCTTTTTTACGACCACTACCGCATTTCCTTTATCAGAGATCAGGGGGTTCACTCCCTCTGCATGCTCTCAGTTAAGCAGGATATACAGGCGAAACGTGCACGCCGTTGCGTATGCCCTTCGAGCAAAATCCCAACAAATACAAAAGGGATCGACAGAGATGTATGTTGCAGCCGCAGGAGAGGGGGGAAGTAGAGAAGGAGCTCGAATTGAAATTAAGTGAACCTAACGTGCACTCAAGTATGAGTAGGGAGCCAATCCGCTCATAGCAAGTACTACTGACGCAGGCGCATTTCGAACATCACTGTAAAGCTCTGTCGTCTTTCTCTCTCCCTCTTTCCCCTTACCCCACTATCGTCGATTTTTCATTCCATTCCATCTACCGAGAACATCTCCTTCTCTCTCACTCTCTCTCTCTCTAGCTAAGCTATTCTCTTATTTTGTTTTCCGATGCCACTCTCCTCCTCTAACTTCTGCTTCCACCTTTTTCTTTCAGCTATCCCTCCAATGTTCCAAGGTATAGCTCAGTCCATACAATTCTCCAACAAAATCGTCAACGTTAACTATCCAATTGCCACCTGTCATCCATTGTACCTAAATGCTGATGCAGTCGCGTCGCGACGATTTATATCCATAATTCGTGCAAGCGCGCGTTTCCGGTTTCACGAGCTAGCGTGACAACTAGCAATCCTCCCTGCTTTATGTTGAGATTAAATGCAAATATTTGTCCGAATTACAGTCAAGAGATTTTAATCACGTACTCCAAAATATATTTATTCGCCATTTTGGGCTGAACAGATATTGTAATTTTCATGTTCGATTTCTGCATAAGCATCGGTTATCTGCGAATTACGTATGGCAAGTCAATAAAAAAAGAGAAAACGATCGGTATTCAACGTCGAAGTAACTGTACCAGGGCTTTCTGTAGCACAGCTTTTTATTGGTAAAGCATTCACCAAACCCTACGTACCTGAAATAACCGGTTTGATTGGAAAAACATACATGGAACAAGGTGTGGCTGGAATGGTTGGAGGTCGGCGGGAACAAATATAGTAGGGGAACTTAACGGAACATGTCGAAAACGGCCGAATCTGGCATCTATTGATCGTAACAGGTTCCCTGTGCTATATTCTGTGGAAATACTCAAACAACCTTTGCTTGAAATTCTATATTTAGATCAAACAGAATACCGCAACCGACTCGTATTACAATAAAATCATCGAATATCACCCCACCCAAGCCATATTTCCTGAATTTACAATTTCATAGCCACAACTGTATGTATAATTTGCAACGAATTTTTATATTTATTCGATAACATGACATCGAATCCGTGAAACATTTTGCATATAAAAATTCATATTTATAGTCACAGAGGCCAGCATCCTTTTTGGTCACAACGTCGAGATCGAATATCATTATAAGAAAATAGAAAGAAAGAAAACATTACACCGTAATGGGGATTCGCCTCTGACTATTTCTACCGCGTCCTTTCCGGTGAATAAAGCTCAAGCAAGCAATTGAATAGCTAAATATACATATCCAGTTGATATTCTCATTCCACAGAATACTTGACTATTGATTTCATCCCTACCATGGACTTCTCGTCCTTTGGTTGGCAACTCCTACTAGTATGCGCAGAAGCCATGTTGGTGTGCGCAGAAACGTAATCACCTTTATGGAGGAACGAATTCACCACGATATAGTAGCGGTCTAACTTGATGCAAGGAGAAAGGGGATACTTGGATACGTACGTTGACCCAACATCGCTGACTACTACTCCCCCTTCGCCACTTCCTCCCACGAATCTGGTTTCGCTGCGAGTTGCGCACAACTTTCTAAGCTCGAGCCTCTCTTCTGATGACGTTCGTTCAAGTTATGCTCATTGCATGCGTAGTAGGGGAGAAAAAGATAAAGGTTTCGATGGTGGCTCTGGTTAACGGTACTTCACAAGCTTTCCTTTATCAGCGGATCAACTGCGACTCCAACCTGATGAAGCTTTTCATTCTCGCCTCGGCATTGAATTAATTATAGACGTAATGAAACAGCAACGAATACTGCATTATAATTTCAAGCACGTGCTCCTGAATTAATCACGATACGAATGAACAATCAATAAATGACTAAGTACGATGAAATATTTATAGATAAAAACATAGTTATAGTCAGAAGTTACGTAAGAGCAAAGCACTTGGCAACACAGGAGTACCATCCTTCAATTTATTTCTTTTATTGAATTATTGTCGTTATATGAAAGGAAGAATAATAATCAAAAAACTTCATCCATTGCATTGGCAATTAGATTATATGTACATGCTACTTTAGGTTTTCAGTTTTTTATGAAAAATTACTATACAATTGTGTTTTATTTATGACTTTGTAATATTTAAAGTAACATTATAACGGATGACATCATTTACATTTTTGTATTCATACATACAATTCGCACTTTGACCTCGTTTATTGACTTCAATGGTTGCTAGGCACCAATTATACATATTGTCAAGGAGAGAGGGAGTTAAACTTTAGCAACGTTGCCAAATTATTTTATACGAAAAAATGTAGTCTGAAAGTAGGACACTGCTTTTTCGAAAAATCGATCTCGTCTAAAGGCAGAAAAGGTTATATAGTATTCGCAAGCTGCATCATTTATTTCATTCGTGTATATAGTACCTATGTATCTGTATATATTTTGATTATTGATATTTATGTTCAATAAAATGCATCATTAGTTGGCAAATCTTTTTTCTTAATTTCATTGTAATCAAATATGTATTCATTTTGACTTCAGTTTAAAAAAAATTAATCAATATCACATTGAGAAAATATTACTGTTCATCGTATTTACACATATGTTTATTTGTATATGCATGTTTGCAATAATTCATGTAATTGTTAATAAAGGATTGAAATGCAAATAAAATTTTTAATAAAATCAACCTTCATGGTATGAGCTACAAACCAGTGTTACCAACTTGTAAAGAAAAGACTACAACTCCGTGTTGTATTTTTCATAAAAAAAAACATA